ACTGATGTAATATGTAAGCTGTCTTCGGACAGCCCACCCGTTTGAACTAATAAAGTGCCAGGGGCCTAAGTGGTCACTTCAATATTAAAAAAAAAAAAAATACTATTAAAATCACACAAATCTCGGGATTCTGCAATTGGATTTTAGCGCTTTTGTACTCGTTAGAATAGTCTAATTGAGATGAACATTTTGGTAGCTAAATCATCTTAATCAGACTGATAGATCAAGAGATATTAGCAATGCTATGAATTAGCCCATATAGTAGTGATCATAAGTAATGGAGCAAAAAATTTTTTTTAGTTAAATTGTATTATTTCATGCAATTCTTAGTGTATCTATTTAGTTTTTTTTTTATTTGATTCATAAATAGTATAGCTTTTGGATATAAAAACTTTAGAAAGTACTAATAGGCCAAAATTTTTACAAATACAAGCTTTATTTTAAAAGCTATGTTGTATTACTTTTGATTGTTTTATACATAATATGAATATAAAATAAAAATAGTTTTTTTATATATAAAAAAATATATATATTTTTTTATTTTAATAATTTATGATTACTGTTATTTGATATATTTATCTCATGCTTTACTAATATCTCAAATTTTATTTTTGAAAAGGATGAATTAGATCAATACAGGTATCAATATTGATTTTCTTGTTGGGTTACCTAGATCAGTATTGTTCACTGGAATGTTTCAGTGGGAATTACTGGAACTGGAAAATCACTGAACTTAACTGAATGGAATTGGAAACATAATAGCTTCTAGTGATCGAATGTCATTAGACTATTTCAGTAAAGATTTTTATTGCTGAAATAGAAGTTCCAGTGACATCCAGTGACTTCCAGTGGCTTCTAATTGGCCAATTCGAATCAATCACCAAAAATAGCAAGCAGATATTAAAGCGACATAAATTTGAGCTCCGGATACCTACCTGTTGGAATATGATCAACTCACTGACTTCGTAGACACCACATTTCACTGATAGTTTATTTCACCAAAGCCCATTTATAGACAATGTAATTCTAGTCAATATTATTAGGGTTACGTTAGAATTAGAGTTGAAGTTAGTATAATTTATAAAAAAAAACTTGTTGGTGAAATGAGCTTTAGTGAAATAGACTGTTGGTAAAATAAACTTGTTGATGAATGATTGTCGGTAAAATGTGGTGTCTATAAAATGATTGTCAGTGAAATAATACGGACCCTACCTATTTACACGAATATTACTGGGTCACAAACAGGGTTATTTTTGATAACCAAAGTAATTTGAATAATCCGGCATAGATTGTACAATAATGTTAAACTTTGTTAACGAATTAAAGAATTATTGTAAAATCGGATATGAGAATCTTTTTTTTTACAGTGTTTTAAATTAGTATCAAAAAGATGAGTTAGAAAAATATAGTCATAAGCTCGGGAACATAATTAGTCGCCAACTAATTTGATTAGCAAAATAGTCACATTTAGATTAGCCAATCATATGAATACGTTCCAGTGAGAAAATTGTTCCAGTGAGATTTCTTACTGGAACTACTGGAATGCTAGAAGAATCTGGACGTCTAGTGGGGTTCCAGCCTTCTAGTGACAACACTGACCTAGATCATGACACAAAGACTCTTATCATTCTAAATTGAAATAGAAAGTTCCTATGCAGATGGTCAACCAATATCTAAATAAAATTTAATAAAAAAAAGTTAAAAAATAGAATATTCAATATAAAGCCTTAATTTGATTATTTTTAAATTATCACTTTATTATCATTATTATATAATTTTCTTATTATTTAATTAAAAAAATAACTATGCAAATAACATATTCATAATTTCTGATAGTATTTGTATATTCTCACAAAAAATCCATTGATGAAACTCATTATTCATTATGTAGTCAAGCTTACTAAGATCTTAGTATAATAAAATATAATGCAAACTATAAATTATTATAAAATTCTACCAAAATCCTATTTAAGTTTAATTTAAAAACTATTTAATAACTTTTTAAAACACTTTGATTAAAAAACTTTAAAATTTTGAACTATAAGATTTAATTATCTAAAATTTGCTTTGATAACTCAATTTTTATACTTTTTGGTAAATTTGAGCTAATATTTTTTGCTTGTATTTATATCAATAAGGGTTTTTTCACTTAATTTTTAATACTAAAATATAGTTTTTAAATATAAAAATATAATTAGATATTAAAACATGAATAACTTCTTTTTTTTTAAATAGGACTGACCATACTTAAACTACAGTTAAGCATTGACAAGATATTATTTAAGTTAACATATCTACTTGGTTTGGTTTGTCCTTGGCAGATAAACAACTACCTTTGCTAATTCTTCATGAGTGTGGTATCCGACCACTTTTAAAATCATAAAAAGTTATAGAGAAGCTAATATCATGTACCTGAGCTATCACCTTTGTGGTGTACTACTTTTGTAGCAAAAGAAAAACTTGGATTCTTTTGAACTAGAGTTGTATGTTCTTTTTTTTGGCTAAAACATTGTCAACCGCTTTATTGTGATACAAATATGTAAGGATGGAAATAGAATCTACATTTGCATATAAGCTTATGTAGTACAATAGGCATCATCTGATATTTGTCAAAAACGATCAAAAGTAATGCATCACGTGTTTCATAATACATTCTCGATTATCTTTACATTGGCAATAATAATAACTATTAAATTTTTAAAATTAATAAAAGATACTATTTACGAATCAAATAAAAAAAAAACCAAATAGATACACTAGGAATTGCATGAAATAATACAATTTAACTAAAAAAAATTTTTTCTCCATTACTTATGATCGCCACTGTATGTATGTAAGCATTCACAGTCGTGACTCGGGTAATGCAGATATATGCTATAATATTTGACTTGTAACTTCAGACATGTGTCATAATCAACGACTAATAAGTATAGATCTTCAACGATGGAATTTTCTCAAAATTCTTTTGTAATCATTAGAAATTTCTATGAACAATATTATGTTTCACATAGATTAATATAGATTGAAGTGAGGGAGTTGTAAATTTGTATTTAAACAGTGAAGAATCCCTTTGTTCGTAAAGCAAACATAAAAATATTATATGGATTGAGGCTTGAAAATCATATAAGAACTCTGACTAGGGATGATGATTTTCTGCGGTGGTATTTGAAAATAAATAAATATTCGCAGAAAATCATCGTCCCTGACTCCGACTAATCTTTATTGAGATAATTACAAAATTTATATTTGCGTGACTACGTATAAAAATGTATCCTATAATTAATAATTTGGCATCACAAAACCATATACTTAACGACCCAGCGCTTATAGGAGACTATCAGTCTGAAAATGATTCCAAAAATTTAACTCATAACACGATTACATTTAAATCTTTTATAAAAGAAATGAAAAAAACTTTCACTCATGGTGACAATGAACAATGTAACTTATTTAACGAATTTGAATGAAATTCAAAAAGCTAATTTAATAATAATAATTGATTTGATTCATATCATATGTTAGTATTAGGGCTTTCAGACCGGATAGATGGGTTATTGAAAGAATATAATATAAGAAAGTTCGAATACTTGCAAATTAGAAATCTTCGGCCTATTGATAGCGGTGGATCTGCAATTGTATATTCTGTTTATTTACTAGGACAGAAGTATGCATTGAAAAGTCTAGATGTAAACGCTAATCTAAATTGGGACTATAAAAAGTTTAAAATATTCCTCCAAGAGGTAAACTTCATTCATTCGTTTTTAACATTACGATTGATATCCAAATTAATAAATTCTACATTTCTCAGCTAAGACTTCTTCACAATGTTGACCATCCCAATATTATTAAATTCTATGGGGTTCTAAAAGGTTGGAAATATTCAAATGAACACATTTAAATAATGCTTTATCTAAGTATATTCTTTTGTCATAACATAGATCCACAATCCGGAAATTTTAATATCATGCTACAATTTGCCAATGACGGAAACTTACGAGAATATTTACGACGTAAATGGACTAAAGATGCTTTTACAATATTATGGACAGAACTTATACAAATTGCCAAAGAAATATCTCTTGGGCTTAAATGCCTACACGAAAAAGGGATTATACACCAGGACTTGGTATGAATTCTTTAAATTATAATTAAACCCTGAATTACTTTTTTTTTACCAAATTCTAAGCAATTTGCATTGAAAACCTCCTAGCACTCTAAAAATATTTTAATGAATCATGGCAAACCTCTGATCGCTGATTTCGGAATATCAAGGCATATAGAAGATATTTCTTTATCAACCTCATATTTAAAGGGTATGGCTGCGTATATTGAACCACAATGCTTTTTACAATGTGATAAAAAGATTAGACGTGATGAACGATCGGACATATATAGTCTGGGTGTGTTGATGTGGGAACTTACAAGTGGAATTCCTCCATTCTCAGACTCGTCTAATAATTATGTTATTCCCGTAAGGATTTTTCGTGGTGACCGGGAGAAGATAATTCCTGGAACTCCTCAAGAATATGCAGATCTTTATATGAATTGTTGGTCTTCGGAGCCAGAGAAACGTCCTAAATTAGATAAAATTTTGAATGATCTCGATAGATTATCAACTGAAACAGCTATCGAATTTATAATAAATGACGTTAGACACTGCACATAGTACTCAGTCTTATTCAAAACCTTTATTTTTTAAATGAATATATCATATGAGAAGTAATATATATATGTATAACTATCGGTTGGGTAATATTCAAGAAGTAAATCATGAAGGTTTTATTTTTAGACATGTATGCGATAAAACAATAGACTGATGAATCAACCAGGGGCATAGATAATATGAACTTTCCTTTGAAATTTTTCTTTTTTCTACTGTAAAATTAAAACATTATTAAATAATTAAATTGGTTTATGTAATGTACGGTTATACTACTTCAAGTGAAAATACTTTTATAAATTTATTTATTAAATTTATTTTTCATGTTTTAAGCTTTTGTTTATATAGTCAATTTTTAGCTTTAGCTCTTAATTACAAAAAAATTAATTTACGACCAGGGACGATGATTTCTGCGGTGATTATTTTCTGCGATAATTCTTCTGCATAAAAATCAAATATTTAATCACCGTATAGATATCTGATACAAATTCGTTTACGTGACACTTCACAATTCAAGGATCGGCAACCATGTGCGTAGATGTTACACGTATGCATAATGATCATAGTTAAACAATGAAGCATCGGGAATATAGTATATTTTTTAACACACATCTATAATGTCTAATACAACCACACAGAAACGTGGTCCAATAACTTGCCACGTACTCGACTCTTCACGCGGAGTTCCTGGCAAAAATATCGAAGTCTTGCTGGAATGTCAACAGAGTAGCGTTGATAAAGATTGGGTTACTATTAGTAAAACGTAATTATATCAAAACTTGAAATAATTGCTTATCTAATATCTAGTCATTTGCACATTTACCAACTTTCACGTAACTTTAGAAAAACAAATGAAGACGGAAGATGTTCAGACTTAGTTTCTCCTGATTACCAAATACCCTTGACCAATTCTGCAGATGATCCCAAAGTAATTTATCGTCTCACCTTTTTTACTACACCATATTTTGAAAGTTTTGGACAAGAATCATTCTATCCCTTTGTTCAGGTATAAGTTTGCTTATTATTGAGAAAATAATATACATGTTAATTTTGTTAATTGTCACTAAATTATTATTATGATTATTGGCATATGCTAAAGATTGTTTTTCAAGTGAAGGATGCCGCACAACATTATCACGTTCCGTTGTTGATCGCACCTTTCTCTTACACAACTTATCGTGGAAGTTAAGTAAGGTTGCGATCCAACCCTTTTTTTTTGAAATATGACGTTACTACATAGTCTTGATTTTGGAATCGGGATTCTTTTTAATTTGGGGATAGTCAAATATATGTCTCATTTTTTCAAATTTATTAATGATACAAATTATTAAACCTTTGTTATTTTTATTTTAATTTTCAAATCAAGAAAATCAAGAACTTAGTGATTTAGCGACTAGACAGGACATATAGGTCTATTAGTTATGTCGAGTATGCATACAATGAATGAAAAAATAATTGTAGAGGTGAAAAGCTTTACACACCCAAAATGAAAAAAAACTTTGAATTGTAAATAATAAATCTTTCAAAAAGCTTCTATCGAATCCAAGTAGGAATATCCAATAGTTTTTAAAAAAAGTTGGTAAAAATCGATACCTTATCAGTTATATAATCCTTCATTGTGGGGGTCCTTTGGGATCGGGCCCAATCGAAACCTTGAAAGGATTGGTAAGGACTTGAAGAATTCGGTCTTTAAATCACATGAGAACACAATACATTTTATAGGACTTAGATCCTGAAATGAATTATTAAAACTAGTAATATTTATTATTTATTAGTCTAAAATGGAAGAGATGGCTTATTTTTCTCTTTTTCTTTAAGTTTTTCCTATAAATTTAGATTTCGAATTCCAATTAATCATTCTGAAATTTTGATCAAAAGTTTTTTTTTTTTTACGTACCAGTCTCCAGGCTGCGATGGTTTGTGGCATTTCTTCTAAAGCTTTTGCAATTTTTGCTTTCCTGTGTTATGAAATTTAATTTCATTACAAGTATCTTAATATATAAACTGTGTAATTGTGGTTTATTAATATGATAATACCTTTCAGGAGCATTCCTTTCGTATTTAGCACCTTTACGAGGTTTACTTCTAGGTGGTTTCTTTTCAGGTTTAGGTGGTAATCCAATATTAGTAGGATCAACGCCTAAATACTCACAATTTTTTCTCATATCAGCTAATTTTCTTCTGCTAACTTTTGGTGCTTTCCATCTTGCTTTACCCCATAAATTGATATATTTAAATGTTGGTTTAAAATCTGATGGTTTATATTGCTTTTTTATATGATTTAATTTTTGAGGTGAAATGCATTTTGTTGCTGTTCCTTTAATTACAATAGAATTATCTGTTATTACACCCTTTATTCCCTTTATTGCTTCTGAAATTATTCTCGTCATTTTTTTTAAAACTAAGATTATCGTAAATTTTTTTTAATGAAAATCTAATCAAATTAGGCTTCACGTCAACTCTTTAATTGTCCGGAGCGTTCCAATAAGTGATAAAAAATTCCGCTTTTGATTCATTATTAATAAAAATATCAAAAACGTAAATTTCCTTTTCTGTCTTGCAACCAAACCTCATGTGACTTCGCTCCTGACTTATAACGCTTTCCGTTTCCTAGTACACAAGATTAGTAGCGCAACCAAAATTCAGCAGATCGGCCCGAACTTTGGGTCAGAATAGGCCGGAATTGGTAAATTTTTTCTAAATTCTCCCAAATTTTTACCTATACATTAAGTAAAATTGCTCAGCTACTAATTTTGCTATAGTATAGTGCTAGTATTGTTAGCCAGTATTATTGCTTAATGCCGGCCAAGCTCCGGTCTATTCTGACCCTAAATTCGGGCCGACCTGCTGAATTTTGGTTGCGCTACTAACCTATCTCGTGACGACATTAATTACTCGAACCATTCTATCGCTATGTAAATTTTCCAAGTTCAGGTCACATTTTTCGGACACGACCAATCAAAAACGTTAAAGCGCACAAACTCAGAATTGAGTTATATTGAGTTATATATGAGTGTCGCCAAAAGAAAACCCGACAATTTAAATATAGTATATATTTAAATTGTCGGGTTTTCTTTTGTCGACACTCATATATATATATATATATATATATAGACTCTCTCATTTATTATTATTATTATTAAATTAACTAGAGATTGCAAATACGGGCGGCTTCGCCGCCCGGTTGATATTGCGGTGGTGCAAAGTTTTGTTATTTTAAAAACTTTTATTTAAAGAATTAGCTTTCTTTAATTGGGTATTACTGTATTTAATGTGTTTTTACAAATGATCACTATACTCATAAGTTTAAATAAGCAGAAAATGAAATTCAAGTATTACCGTAGGTGATTTAGAATTTAATGATGTATTTCTGATTTCGAATAAAATTGTGATGTATTTGCTCCGTTCCATAAGTTCTATTTACATATTTTTCTGATTTCAAAATTTCAACATCCACCTATCTAAAATTAAAGCCAGTTTATTAGATATAAAACGATATATCGGGTGGGCGCGGATTATAAATACTATTTATTCCCTGAAATCCTTGGCCACCTGAGGTTCTTCGAGCCCCAGGTGGCCCGTAGTGGGAAATAAGAGTGTGATTCTTCGTTTTTATATAATGTCATAAAAAATCGCAATGTTTATTATTTCAACATTTCCCGGGGAAACAACAAGCATTGCTAGAAATTTGGTCTTTACACTCATTATGACGCACAAATGTACAAATCTTATGATTCTGCTGTTTTCGATTATGACTACAATATAATTAATTATACTATATATTTTTGTTAGTATTTTAATTATTCATATATTTGCCTTTTAAGCTTCTTTACTAGCATAAATTTGAGTCCCGGAGCTGGTGATTAAGGGAAATATACGGTTAATTATTTGGACTTACCAGAGATGTCAGGCAGTTAAAACAGATTAGGTACCGTACGGCACTGACTACCCACCTGCTATAATACAGTATCCCGACATTAAATTGAAATACATACATACTGTAGTCTGATGAGGCTACTGATGCTAAAAAAAAATTTGATTGTCACGCGTCGTGACCTAAAAATTCGATTTTTCATAAATTACGGAATTATTGAATGCGAATCACCTATTTATTAACATCGTTAGTTCCATCACTAACTGTAGTCTGAAATAGTCTGATTAATAATGCTTTTATTAAATCCATTTTTACGATGTAAATGAGCGAAAAAGAAATTTAAGATTTAGTAAGCAATATTAAATGCACTTATACTTCTGTACTTGATAAATTATGATGTTATGATGCCCGGAAATGCAACCTAATCATATCATGTGAAACTGCTTACTTATAGTCAGGTCTAGAATGTTTCAAAAAATAAAATTGATTAAAATAATTGTAAAATGTTTCAATATATTTAATATATATATTGTATTTAATATATTGTATTTAAATATATATTTAATGAAAAGCTTTAGAGAGAATTAATGAAATGCTTTATCAAATACATCTATACTATCAAAATTTTTTCCGCCTTTTGTAAATTGATTGATACACGTGAATCCGTCTGTAGACTTCAATAAAATTCTTTTCGATAATTAATAATATCAGTACTATTTTATTTTTTGTTCGTGATAATTTAGGCGTGAATATAAAAATTATTTATTAATCAAAATATTTTAAATAAAATAATCAAGTTCATAAATAAATATTTAATTTAACATTTAGCGAGCTCATAATGATATAGAAAATGTACTAATTACTATATAATTTGTAATGAAAATGCACGATCGCTATACTAAAACTTCTATTATTTATTGATTTTAAAAATACAAAAAAATCTGAATGCCAATAACCCTCAACGTTTTCAATGTTGAATTCTTATTAAGGATCTTCTATTATATATTCATCTCCGCTATCACGCGTTAAACCAAAACCTAATGCTCGAAGCGGCGTAGTATAAGTCAAATAAAAATACGGCTGAGCTTAGTATTGTTCGCATTGAATTTTCGCCAGTACGCTAAAAAGAAGTGATATTAAATAATTTACAGGAAAAAAAAAAAGACGATTAATAACTCTTACACTTACTTCGGTATTTCTGACATCACTTTCTTTCTCGCTTCTAGTTGCACTCCTGGTCCTCTAAAAATTATATTTGTTATCTACAAAGGATATCTCTACCGGCCGAAGACCTCCAAAGTTAGTGAGCCATTACGGCACTATATAAATATCTATTACAATACAAAGAATCAAATAAATTAAAATTTTGAGTAAATACTATATAATATACTTACTTTAATTAAAAAACGCAAAACGAGTGCAAAGCACTAAGGAATTCGGCCCGTGTAATCTTCGGACCAGTATTATAACTGATTCCCGAAGAGAGTTTTCGCGTTTTTTTCACTTGCGTTTTTCGAATGTGTAAAATAACAAAAGAGTTTTATTTAACGTGTCTTAATTAATGGAGAGGACAACATTCATATGATTGGTTAATTTTTGTAGATCTACCCGTGAATTCTCGTGATAATTAGCCAATCAAAATAAGATTTATCATTTTAATACAGTACTACTAGAAAACGAAAAGAACTTCACATAAAGAAGCTTACAAACTAATAAATGCACGTAAAAAAGAATTTGTTACATTTTAAAAATAGATAACGCGTAATTGACATTCATTACTAATAAACCCAAGCTTCAAATCGATTAAAATTTCAATATGTGAATAAGTTATTAACGTATATTTTGAAAAGTACCTAATTCTATCTTATTTTTAGTTATCTGTAGCTGCCCGATACGAAAGTATCGGAGCAGCCTTTTGTCTCGAATGTCACGGGTTGATCATCTGATTCATTGTTGGATTTTTTGTATGATGTCGTTATGATCTATTGTCGTGATTTATTGTCTGATGCATGAAAATTGACGTCGTTTTTCTTTTTTTTTGAGATTAGTAATCATTGTTAGTATTTAAGAAAACGGGGTTTTTTCCCAGGAAAGGTAATTTCTGTTTTTTCTGCTAACCCGACTTTGTCTGGTTTTTTCGCCCCGCCCTTGCCCTCCCTAGCAAGCATTTTTTGGAGGTTTACCCTATCGAAAGGGTAATCATTGCTTAAGGAAATTATGGCTTGTCAGGTTGACAGTCATTTCGGGTTTTTTACGGTCTGTTGAGACGACAGTCGTTTTTGAGTTTATGATAAGTGGCCTGTCGGGACGACAGT